GACTTATAAGCTACTAGATATTGATAGAACATTACAGGACGAGAAAATGTTAAATTTGTGTTGTAAAATGAGTGAGTAGTTTGTATGGTCTATCGGTGTCGTGGTATATACTATGTTTTAAACGTGAACTATGTGATGAAGGGGTGCAGAGTTGGGGGTACGGGCAGCATCTCAGACAACAGAGGAAAAGGAACAGGCAGCACCCCAGACAGGCGATGAAGAGACACGGGTTGTGATAGGGAACTTGACAAGAATCAGCCGGTTTAAAGTGATAGAAAAAAGGTGAAAGCGTAACCCAGACAGTCCAGATCCGGGAGGACTGTCGTTGTGACGTGGAGGGGTACCTGCAGAAGGCGCACATCATCCGACAGGGTGCGATGGGTCCATATGATGCAACCGAACCGAACTGTGTTCCGTTATGAACAGTCGATTGTTGGATTTCAATCATGTGTCGTATACTTATTTTTACTAGTGGGTCAATGCGGGACGCATTGGCCGGAGGCGTTGGTATTGAATATCGCCTCACAGAGAGGGTATTACCGTTCGTTTCCCTCTCTCTCTGGGGAATCGCGTCGGTCATTTTTAATGTCACTTGATCTATCCTTCCCCCGATCTCTTCACAAAGATCAAAGATGGCGACTCAATATTAATATGTAACTCTTGCGACAAACCGATGCCTAATTGTCGAGAAAACGGCAGCATTTAATTCAAACAAATCTAGCAAATCAGGACCCATGGTGGGGGGGGGGCTTAGGAACCGAATTCAGACTGATTAATGGCCGGCATGATTCTCAACTGAGAGAAACGAACTCCAAACTTCTCTGTGGGAGCCGAGATTGTTGGGTAACGTGATGATCCTAAATTTCAGTACTGATATTACATATTCGTGTATATACTATTCAAAAAAAGTAGGGGATATTTGATTTTTAAGTGTTATTAAAGTCACCTAATGAAACTGACGAAGAAACAAATGACAAAATGAAATGAAGTTCACATTCATCGATTTATTCCAAATGATCGTTAGACTAAGTAAGGCACAGACTGACCATTATAAGGGTAAAATGATACCCGGGGTCAAACAGCAAAGTTACCACAGCATCACAACCAAGTCAGTAACGGGTAAATCCTCCTCTGTTTGCCAAACAAGCATTGATCCGACGTGGCATACTCCTAATGAGACGTCTAAGGTCATTTTGGTCCAGATTGTCCCATTCCTGTTGCAACGCAGCAGCAAGTTCTTGGACATTGGCAGGACGTTGTTGACGTTGACGTAACCTCTGTCCAAGCATGTCCCAGACATGCTCGATGGGGGAGAGATCGGGACTCAGTGCTGGTGATGTTCTGTTGTTGGAGGTAACCTGTAACGATCCTGGCCCTGTGACATCTTGCGTTGTCATCCTGGAAGATGAAACGGCGGCCATGACGTCGTGCGAACGGCACAACATGGACTGCCAAGATGTTGTCCCGGTAGTACTGGCCTGTAACACGTCCTGCAACAACATGTAAAGCCGTTCTTCCAGCAACAGTGATGCCTCCCCACACCATAACAGAACCACCCCCAAATCGATCATGTCTGATGACGTTAACGTCTTGGAAGCGCTCGTTTCGACGACGCCACACCCTCCTACGTCTGTCCAAAAAATCAACAGTGAACCTTGACTCATCTGAAAACATCACATTGCTCCAGCGTCGATTATCCCAGTGTTGACGATCCCTACACCAACGACGTCTTGCCTGAATGTGATGATCTCTCAAACAAGGGATCACGCGAGGACGTCGGGCGCGAAGGTGACCCCTATGCAGTCGATTCCGAATCGTCTGGCCACTCACTCTCACACCAGTGTCTGTTTGAAGACGAGCGCTGATCTGATTTGCTGTGATGACACGATTTCTCAAGGCCAAGGTACGGATAAATCGATCCTGGGCTTGAGTTGTCGCCCTTGGTCGACCTGAGCGTGGTCTGTCCTGTACAGATTGTGTATCACGGTATCTGGACCATAGCCTGCTTATGACAGACTGAGAAACATTCATCGTCCGCGCCACAACCGCCTGTGTTGTGCCGATCTGTAGCATGCCAAGGGCACGTAACCTTTCATTTTGGGTAAGCCGACGCATATCAAAATTTGTTTTCTGGTCACTAAAACAATTAAACTGATGTTTCCACCCTGGAATTCAATGCCACAATGACTGTAACATTCAAAGTCAGAGTCGTGCAAATCTTGGGTTGGACCCCCATGATGATCCCAAGCATCACCTGCATTCCATGCGGTAGCTATTGGTGCGTTTGGGCGTCACATGTAACTGGAAATGTTTCTTCTGTTAGGTTCTATAGTGACTTTTTTCGTAGTCATTTGCATATTTTAGTATTATGCCCCCAAAATCAAATATCCCCTACTTTTTTTGAATAGTATATTTAGCTTGAAATATAATTACGGGTTTCTTTTATTGTGTCCTACCTTGCCAACGGCTTCGTCAGTTATTTATTTTCATATCTAATTGTGCCTTATCCATTGCATTTGTTTTATTGACAATCCTTGTATTTTTGTATACTGTTCGCTGTAATGTCCTGCAATGTTTATGATTAATCTAGTCAACGCTGGTCTCATCGCGCATGTGTGGCGCACACGATTTAAGAAATGATAGCCAGACTGTCAGAAATTCAAATAATTAGTCTAGGAGCCAAGTGATCTTTCCATGCATAATGGCGCCCTTTTTCATGATTTTGTCAAAACTGCCCCGGCTCCAAATGAAATGGGGTTTAACTGCCGGTATAACATAATGACTTATGTCATAGAGGCGTCCTGCCATATTAAAATACGTGTTAGTGATTGTAACATAAACCTGTCGCTATCAATACCCGGCTGGAGATCTTGGTAGTATTCCTTATGTCATTGCGTAACTATAACTTGTTGTTGGCATGTCTTATCTAATTTTCTTTGTCTGATAAACTATATTGAATGTTAAACCTTCATATGATGCTTGATACATTAGACAGGTGTCTAATGAGCTCCTTTGTCTCGAATACGTTTATAAACTCAGAACAGAAACGAATCTTTAGGCGGGTCCAGGAGGCCATGCTAGGCGGGCGCCTTGGCACGAGACGGTACGAGACGACAGCTTTTGGAGTTAGCACACTCATGCTAAGCCAAGCTAAGCTAAGACATTCGACTCCCTCCATTTTAGTTAGTTCTACGGTCGTTTACATTATGATGTTTGTACCTAATATGTAAGAAGAATAAAAATATTATATTCGAAGTCACACCAGTGTTGCCTCCAGAACTTGATTTAAAGAAATACTGTCACACCGGACAGAAATACTTAATCGGGTTGAAAATTAACGTGTAACTTAAAGAATATCGTAAATTCTAAGGAGTAGTTCGAGAAATTAATCTGTATAAAATACCGTAAAACAAAACTCACGGCGCTTGGTTTACCGCACGGCGCTTGGTTTACCGCATTCTGAACATCTGAAACACGCTACTTGCGGAGAAGTAAAAAAAGCCAGCTACCATTTAATTTTCGTACGTTAGTTACGTACGGGTTTACCGTTGAGCACATTGAGATGTCGCCGTGTCTCGCGCGAGCGGCAGAGAATCCAACCAAAGGAACTCGTTGCCCATGCATCTGTAGACGATTACGGTCCATGGTCATACAAATCACATGATTTTATTGCAGGCACGGTCGTCCAGCCAATTTCTTATAGTTTGCCATGTTGATTGTCTGAATATCGTGTGGTAAATGCTATGTAGAAAGCGTGAAGGACAAATGAGATGCGACAGAGCGCAAATGTAAACTGTAATGTGGGAAATGTAAAATGTAGACACGGTCAAAGACAGCATTTTCCAATAAAACATTTGACGTTTTACATTTAACTTTGCTTATCAAGGGGGAATCACGTGGCAAAGTGGGTAAGGCGCTGGCTCGCTAGCCTGGAGGTCGGGTGTTCGATCCCTGCATTGGGCGAGAAAGTTCATCCCGATTTTCCGGCGTGGTTTCACCTTGTCAGTGATGCAGGACAGAGGGCCTGACAAGGACAGCTGTCTAGTCGTTCGAATGGGACGAAAAACCGAGGTCCCGTGTACACATTGGCGTGCACGTAAAAGATCCCTTGGCAGTTGGAATTCGATATAAGAGTAGGCCGTCGTGTCGCTGTCCGGGCAAAAATTTCCCTCATATCACACTGTATGGCGTATGCCCGTCTTCATTAGCCCAGTATAGGAGCAGAACAGTAGGACGTTAAACCCATTTCATTTCAATTACTTTGTACATTGTACTTTTTACACGCCATCAATGGAAAAGACATGTTAGCAGAGCATTTAATATTGGCAGCGATACCCTTTCATGCAATACATGTTTGAGAATATGTAATGGAAATACGTATAAAACGTATAAATTATGTGAAACTAAATTTTCATGGATCTGTTCGAAATTTCAGTCAAATACCTCCGAGAGTATGTAAAGAATATACTCCACGAAAACGAAACTTTTGTTGAGTCAACGAAACTTGACTGTGCGTCAACAAAGGGTCATAATCCAGTCCGAAGGAGCCACGGATCCCTTGGCAGTCGATATAAGAGTAGGCTTTAGTGCTGTTGTCCGGGCAAAATTTTCCTCATAGCACACTGTATGGCGTATGCCCGTCTTCATTAGCCCAGTCGGAAAAGAACAGCATTACGTTAAACCCCATTTCATTTCATTTCATTAAGATATAATTAACATAATTCAGTCACACCAGCTTGATTTTAATTAGTATAACCTGCAACATCTGTACATTCACTGATGTCACCAATTATTGAATCAATGGTTTTCAAATTTACCTATGTATAAAGTAACTAGACACAGATTTAAAAATTCCATTTCGAAGACCGATCAGCATGTTGGAGGTTGGGGATGTGTTGTTGTGCTCTAACGTAACTTGGGCACTCTTGGCTGTTCTCGTATCCTTACTATGGTGGCGTTCAACACGTCCCTTGCCGGGTGTGCCACCAGGACCTCGACCAATGATACCGTTTTTGGGCAACATTTTACAATTAGAGATCGATCCCCGTAAACAATTTGCTAAATTTCGTAGAAGATATGGTGATTTATTTAGTTTATACATCGGGAATAAACATATCGTAGTATTAAATGGATTTGAAACATTACAGGACCTACTAGTGAAAAGTGGTGACAAATTGAGCAACCGCCCAGATACTAAGACGATGGAAATGGTGGGAGGATACAAAGGTAAATTGTTCACAGGGCCAGCAAAAAACCCTGTGTTTTATTCTTTTCTTTTTCGTGGGTATTGTATTTTGTAGCTTTTTTAGTTTAATTACTGAGTAAAGTTCGTCAAATTAATACCCAAATTCCAGTGTTGTACTTTGTCCACATAAAATTTAGCTTTAAAAGTTTATCTAGTTTAAAGATGACTTGTCAAGAAATGTAATTAATTAGGCGGTTAAGGATGGATTATGTAAGATTTATATAAAGAGGATACGCCCACATTTTGCAAGAGATGGATAGAGAACAAGCTAAACAAAAAGCGATTTTCGAACAATCAAGGGCCATAGTTACGACCCGATATGCGCGAATATCAACAGGAACCAGGATCTTTGGGTTATAAACAAGCATTTTAAGTTTCATCAAAATCGGGTGAATATTGTGACCTCTAGAGAGTCCACAACCTTGATATACCATATTTTTACATATTAGCGCAGGAGGGGCGGCCATTTTGTTCGTCAGTTTTGGTCCGATTTTCACGAAATTCGAACTCAACCATCACTACGGTGTAACAGTAATATATTCACACGGTCTTTTAAATCGGAATAAAATTGTGACCTCCATAGGGTCCACAAGCTAAAAATAACGTGATTTTTCGTACAATCAGGGACCATAATTCAGGAAGTAAGGTCCGATATGCGCGAATATGGAAAGGAACCGAGATCTTTGGGTTGTAAACTTCCATTTTAAATTTCAACAAAATCAGATAAAAATTGTGACCTCTATAGGGTTCACAGGCTAAAAACGCGATTTTCGTACAATCAGGGGCCATAATCCATGAAGTTGCGGTCCGATACATGCCAGTATCGAAAGGAACCGAGATCTTAGGAAGATAACCCTATATTTCAAGATTCGTTGAAATCGGATAAAAATTGTGACCTGCAGAATATCCACAAACAATTGTGGACGGACGGACAGGGGCGACGACAATATACGTCCACATGAAAATGTGGGCGTATAAAAAATTCAAAAAATTACTTTATCCTGAGCAGAGTTATGACTTTGTCTCGTTTGACTTTATCGTTAAAAAATAAAGACAAACAATAGGCAGATTTAAGCGGTGGACACACTAGCCGAATGATTCGGCCGAATCAATCGGCGTCGAAATTCGCCTAGTTAAGTGTGTCCACTGTCATTCGGCCGAATGATTCGCCCGAATCAAACAGGTTTGATATATTCGGCCGAATTATATTCGCCTGGTGTGTCCGCTTCGCCGAAGCATTCGGCTGAATGTAGAATTCATTAGCTAATCACTACTCATATCGAGAAGTCACGTGATAGATTGAAGACATAGACACTGCCATGGTTAATCATGTGACGTGAAAGGTGTTGCAATCGACAGGTTGAATCGGGCGAAGCATTCCGCTAGTGTGTCCACCCATTCGGCCGAATAAAATTCGGCGCCGATTGGTTCGACCGAACGAATGGCTAATGTGTCCACTGCTTTAAGTCTTGCATAGAGTTGATTGTTCGTTTGATACCGCTTTAATTATTAGCGGACGCGATCTAGCACGTTATGAAAATCTTAATATTTCCTGCAATTAAGTTTTCAGGCACCGTATATAATATTTTGTCATAGCAAAGATATTCTAATGCCCGGGAAATATCCATTTGCAGTTAGTCGCTTCGTGAAATTTAGAGTACTGTTATATTCATTCGACACCACTTAAACCAGAATTCCCCCTTGTCAGTGATGTAGGACGGAGGGCCTGACAAGGACAGCTATCTATTCGTTCGGATGGGACGAAAAACCGAGCTCCCGTGTACACATTGGCGTTCACGTAAAAGATCCCTTGACAGTTGGAATTCGATATAAGAGTAGGACGTTGTGCCGCTGTCCGGGCAAAATTTCCCTCATAGCACACTATATGGCGTATGCCCATCTTCATTAGCCCAGTTCGGAGCAGAACAGTAGGACGTTAAACCCAATTTTATTTCATTTTAGTCAACGTCTTACTCACTGCCCATGCAGTTATCAATGAATTTTATTCAAACGCGTATAGAAAGTGTGTGTGTGTGGGGGGGGGGGGGTGGATTGCCAAATGGGTAGCACGCGCGCGCTGTATCATAAAGCCTGTTATTGAGTCAACTGGCGTGGTTTCGAATCCCCGGATGTACGTGTCAAGGAGTAGGGTCGCCTGTCCAACCTCGTGGGTTTTGTCCGGGTCCTCCGGTTTCCTCCCACTGCTAAAGACCCCTACGCGCGAGCGAATTATTGAAATAAAATTAAACCATATGTTAGTCCCGAAATGACCTAGCTTGTGTCGAGTGGACGTTAAACCCCATTTCTCTCTCTCTCTCTTGTATAGAAAGTGTTTACGAAACGAATATATTTTATTTTCTTTGAAGGTATTATCTCTACATCTGGCAAAGTATGGCGAGAACAAAGAATGGTTTCACTGGCTTTGCTTCGTAAACTCGACTTCGGAAAACAATCACTGGAAGATAAAATACAAGAAGAAAGTGTTTATTTATTGGACGCCATCAGCAAAGAAAATGGAAATGCCTTTGATCCAAATCCAGTGTTGGGAAACGCGGTGTCCAACATAACATGTAACATGATATTTGCTCAAAGATATGAATATGACAATGACCACTTTCAGTTGGTTCTGCAAATGATCAACGAAACCTTACACATGGTTGGAGCATTCTCGGCCATGACTTATTTCCCGTTTCTGGATTACATTCCGGGTGATCTTTTCGGCGTTGGCAAAGTAAAAGCCAATTTAGAAAAATTTAGCGAAATCATTTTGAATCCAATGATAAAGCATAATATTGATAATTATGATCCCGATAACTGTAACAGCTTTATTGCACTGTATTTAAAAGAGATGTATGCTAGGAAGGCTGCCGGTAAAGAAACTTCATTGGATGGTACGTATTTACTATAAGGGTGTACTTGAAAATGCATTATGTAAGATTTAGATAAAGAGCTCACCATCCTTGTTATAATAGTTCAAACCTATAGATAATATGATGATCTTGAACATTATAGTCACGAACGAACGATTGTCAATTACCATTCCTACAATAGTTCAACAATAGATATTGAAAAATGATGATTTTGAAATTGTCAGACAAATTACGTTATTCTGAACGAAGTTATGAGTATCTGACGTTTTGACAAGATAGTCACGATAAACATAGTCTCGATTATCCATTTCAACGTTTACTTATTAAATGGCGCGGAGAGAGAGAAATGGGTGTAACGCCCACGCGACACAGGTCATTTCGGGACTAACATGGTTCAATTTTATTTCCGCTTGCGCGTAGGGGTCTTTAGTAGTTAACAGGTTTAACCTCTCGGCCTTCGGCCTCTGGTTAAACCTGTTAACTCATGAAAGCCGTGCTATAAATATAACTTAATTTATCAACGCTTCGTTATTATTCATTTACCTTCTCTTTGTAAGTAACATTTTTACGCGGGTAGTTTCTAATGTCCGATCGGAGCCTAGATAGCAATGCGTGTCCGACTGCACATGCACGCCATCCCAGTGGTCCTGATGAGGCATTACACTAGACTATTTGTAGCCAGGAGCTGATCCTTTGGATGGATTCTTTAAATGGTGTATTGGGCACTGTAACTCAGAAGGCACGTATGTGCCGTAATTTGGAAATGGGGGCGGTAAAACTTCTTAATAGCTCATCTATCTCCAACCTACGTTTAAGGAGCCTATCACCTCGACAACAACAGCCCAATTCCTCATGGATGTATTTTTGTTCATCACAAGATTTGAGACAAAATATATGTATTGCTGACGGACGGTGGCCAGTATCGTAATTCTTATTTTAAGAGGAGGTACCTGGTTCGACCCCGGTATTGGCCGAGACGTTAAACCCCATTTCATTTTATATTGTGATTTAGCATTTATGATTATGCATTCATATTTTTTAAATATTTTCTATAGTTAAAAATCTGGAGCAGGTAGTCTCCGACTTATTAGCAGCAGGAACTGAAACGACCACATCAACACTGCGATGGGTATTACTCTTTATGGTTACAAACCCAGATGTGCAAGAGAAGTGTTACCAAGACGTCCAGACACACGTTGGTAATGGACGAACACCTGCATTGAGCGACCGGGATAATTTGATATATGTTCAAGCCGTCATTACTGAAACTTCACGGATGGCCGCTGTCATACCACTGGGTGCTCCCCGGAGTGTGACTGAAGACATGTGGTACAAAGAATATCGCTTGCCGTATAATTCTCTTATTATTACCAATTTGGATTCTGTTTTAATGGATGAAAAGATTTGGGGCGATCCAAAAGTCTTCAGACCCGAGAGATTTATTTCAGAGGATGGTAAATTAATACCCAGAGAAGAACTCATTCCTTTTAGTATGGGTATGTTTCTTAAGCCCTTATCTTTAGTTTTTCACTACCTGTTTTTTTTTTATACATTTCACCTATGTGGTTACTTGTATAGTTAAATTTTACTACATTATGCTTACATTCATATTTCTTGTAACATATAGCAGATTATGACCCATGCTGGCATTATACAATGGTTTCTCTGGGTTTTATTCCTGATTGTTTTCAAATTTGAGTGAAGTCTGTGTCACTACAGGTCCGGGACTGTACAGCGCAGTGGACGCTTACGGCTAGCCCCCGGATCCATTTACGTATGTGTGGTGCAGTCCCCCTGCACTTACTATTATCACACTATTAAAGGATATAAACATCAATGCTGTTCAAATTAGTTGTGGAGCAATGGGGTTATACGAGTGCCAAACCCAACGATATCAATCTACACTCCCCACCCCCGACCCTAACGCCTTTGTGAACGCAGTAGAGACTGTGTTAGTTTTTAACCTGCTGCGGAGCTTTATGGCTATGCGAGTACTATCGATTGCTGTCGTTCTTACTGTTTAACGTCCGCTTCCAAAGAAGGTGATATCACAGACAAGTATTTTTTTTATTATTATTATCTTGGCGCACGCGCAGGGGTCTTTCCTATGGGAGGTACCCGGAGTAAACCCACGAGGTTGAGAAGGCACCCCTATCTCCAAGCCACATACGCTCACACCAGGGATCGAAACAACAACCACAAGCCAGAGGTGATCGGCCAGCTAGAGGTCGAAGTGCGGCACTCTAGGCCATCCCAGTATCATAAGGCCTGTCATTGAGTCAACTGGCTTGGTTTCGAATCCCCGGTTGTACGTGACAAGGAGTAGGGTCGCCTGTCCAAACTCGTGGGTTTTCTCCGGGTCCCCCGGTTTCATCCCACTGCTAAAGACCCCTACGCGCAAGCGAATTATTGAAATAAAATTGAACCATATGTAAGTCCCGAAATGACCTAGTTTGTGTCGAGTGGACGTTAAAACCCCAGTTATCTCTCTCTCTCTCTCTCTCTCTCTCTCTCTCCCAACACCCCAGTACTATCGATATAAAACGCCTCGTTATATATGCCTTTGGTGAAGGCATCCTTATCTGCTGTATTATACACGTTTTCCTGTATTTTACACGTTTATCTTTCGTCAGAATACATAACGTCCCGCCCACTTTTCCATGTGAACACGCTAGAGGCTACAGTTATAAACACGATGAGATCAGATTTGGTGAAGGCATTTATGCCATCCTTAGCGAATGTATTCGACAAGTTTTCCTTTTCGGTAAACTGTTGTCTTGAGCTATCTTTCGTCGCGTCATAGCATCTGTGTCAAGCGATTTGATTGGCAACCTTTTTTATTATAATCTTTCTTTTATTAACTTTCAGGAAAACGAAAATGCATGGCAGAGACTACAGCCAAGATGGAAACATTTCTTTTCTTTTCTCATATGATTCAAAAATTTAGATTTATAACCGAACCCGGAAAGCCAGCCCCTGGATTCGAACCCGCCTTTGGAGTAACCAGTGCTCCTAAGGCTTACAAAATATGTGCTATTCCCCGGTAAACACCAAATCAGATCTGAGGAGACCAAGCACGTGACGGAATTCCATATATGCTAAAAGCGCTTTCTGCGTATGACGTCACATTTAGACGCAATTCCTGATGGGGTTTAAAACGAACAAACACGCATAGTTAAAGATACATTATGGGAGATTAGATAAAGAGCTTCCTGTTCTCACTATAATAGTTAAAAAAAACTAGATAATGTAAAGGGAATTTGCTGACAATTTCAGTCAAATTGATCCACTCTGAACCAAGAATTTTGCGATTGAATTTTCGACCTAGCCTCGACCATCATTACATAGTCTCGATTTTCTATTTCATGATTAAATCATGAATGAAAGTTGATCCAGTAAATATCGCAGGCTAGCGATGACATCGAGAGTTGATTATGGTCTGGATAAGTTAATTAATATCTAATTAATAATTTAGATACCATGTCAGGCCTAAAGAAAGACCTACAATAGGCAGATTTAGCTCTTGCATAATGTATGTTTAAACATCCAGAAACCAGTAAGAAGCAGTAAAACCCAGAACCAGTTCATTAAAGTAACCCCCAGTCACAACACCATCAAAGAAAAGTAGATGTTCCTGGCGGTTGATTTTCAAAAGATCAAGGACAATATCCGATGTTAGAGCTAATAAAACGCCATCTTGAATATATCACGGTGCCTTATTTAATTTAAATAAAAAGTTTATATCATCTAGTTATTACATATATAAAATGTCTGCCTTTCACATATTTCTGAGTACAAGGACCTTTTTCTTAAATCTTGTGTGCATATAATCAAGGCATTGACCGGAAAGGTGGCGGGGGTGGGGGTCACCACACTGGGAACGCCACTGTCAGAAAACCTAATGCTGAAGAGGCGTTGTGGCACGTGAGCAATAGCGCTACATTGAGGAAAATTCATTCATGGAAAATACAGACTGTTACAATGTAGTAATTAAATTCTGATTTTTAATTGAGTTAATTAGAAAGCAACAATTTATTATACCATTATTATCATCATCAATTTATTATAATTGTATAAATTAAATATTAAAATTAATTACGGATTATATTAATGAATCAATGTCCTACGGGGAATGGGGGGGGGGGGCATCGAGAAGCTCGGGGCGCCACTGCAGAAGACCTCTGAGCTTTGAAATTTTAGTTCCGATATGATCTGGTTTGTGTCGAGTGGGCGCTAAATCCTAAAAGTTCCTGACTGTCTAGTCCCTCGGATAGGTCAAAAGCCGCGCTCCGGTGTACACTTACACGTCGGCGTACATTTAGAAACAGGCCCATTTGCTTTCTATTGTTGTGACATTATATGTTCAGTACAGCCTAACCATTGTTTTGTGGTGTATGGTTGTAGCCTTCAGCAGCCTTTTGGCACAGAAAAGTAGCACGTTAAACCCCAATATATTTATTTCATTTTCTTTATGGTTTAAATAGCGGTGTCCAGGAATTTTAGAAAGGGCGGGAGTGATTGGGACAACGTCAAGTTTGGCGTTAGATCTGGGGGATTACCCAAACATTTATAAAATCAGGCCCCGAGCTCACAAAGCATTCTCAGGCTTTAGTTAAGAATTTACTCAACTTAAATCACTGTTTATAAGAAATATCTTTGATCCAAAACCACAAAACTCTGCACATAGTTTCTTATTGATGTATTTGATGCATTAAAACAACAAAGGTTTTGTAAAGGGCTATATTTTAGTTAAAATAAGACAAACAATTTTGAGTAAATTCTTAACTTAAACCTAAGAAGGCTTTGTGAACTCGGGGCTTGAACTCTGAGACGGTATTTCTGATTATTTAGATGGCGCTTACAGAGAGAGAAATGGGGTTTATCGTCCACTTGACACAAACTAGGTCATTTTAGGACTAACATATGGTTTAATTTTATTTTCAATAATTCGCTTGCGCGTAGGGGTCTTTAGTAGTGGGAGGAAACCCGAGGACCCGGATAAAACCCACGAGATTGGACAGGCGACCCTACTCCTTGTCACGTACAACCGGGGAATCGGAACCACGCCAGTCGACTCAATGACAGACTTTATGATACAGCGCGCACACGCTAACCATTCAGCCATCCTACATGTGTAGGATTAGATTAGAGTGGACCCAAAACGACGACATTCCTTCTCATTTCTATCAATTCTGCATGAACTCATTAGTAATGGCTGATTCACAAACGACACAATAATAATTAGAAAAACGCTGAGAATGGACTCAATTTGGGCTGTTCGCTTATTTCACCCAACCTAATTGATTAGAAATTACAATAACTTCTTTAAATATATATATATATAACTTTATACACATTTAAATTACATTAATTTAAAAAAAAACCTTTACACACATTCAAATTAATTAATACGTGCTCTTAGACCCATTTTCGTCTGTTTTTAAGAGAGAGAGAGAGAGAGGGGGAGAAATGGGGTTTAACGTCCACTCGACACTAACAAGGTCATTTCGGGACTAACATATGGTTTAATTTTATTTCAATAAATCGCTTGCGCGTAGGGGTCTTTAGCAGTGGGAGGACCCGGAGTTAACCCACGAGGTTGGACAGGCGACCCTACTCCTTGTCACGTACAACCGAGGATTCGAAACCACGCCAGTTGACTCAATGACATGCTTTATGATACAGCGCGCACGTGCTAACCATTCGGCCATCCAACCCCCCTCGTCTGTTTTACAGTTCAAATGCTTCATACTAGGCAGTTAGGAGACACTCTAACATGTGGAAATTAGAGAAAGAATATCCACCACAATCCACACGAGTAATTTTTTAACGACGATTTCAGTTTGGTATTAGACCTCGATATGAACTATGCATGTAAAACCGCCTTATTTAAGCCTTTCTCAACTTTTAGCAACCTATCAGATTGTAAGTAACCATAAACACACTCAACGCCATCATTTTAATATATTCATTACGTGATATCATTTAGATGCGCCATAATATCATTTAGATGCGCCATATTCGTCTAATGGGATAGGATGAACTGTTAATATTAAATGGTATGCTGACGCGGATGTGTAATAGGCCAGTTTTTTATTGACTTTGAGGTAAAGTTTCTGGGCGATATTAGTTGAATTGATTGTGGAGAGAGAAAAATGGGGTTTAACGTCCACTCGAAACAAACTAGGTCATTTCGAGTCTAAAACATTGTTCAATTTTATTTCAATAATTCGCTTGCACGTAGGGGTCTTTAGCAGTGGGAGGAAACCGAAGGACCCGGAGAAAACCCATAAGGTTGGACAGGCAACCCTACTCCTTGCCACGTACAATCGGAGAATCGAAACTACACTAGTTGACTCAATAGTAAGTGCAGGGGGACTGCGCCACACAAAATTTACACAAAAACAAATACACGGACAAGACACCATACTCAGCAAAACACAGACAAACAATTAAAAAAACGTGAATGGATCCGGGGACTAGCCGTAAGCGTCCACTGCGCTGTACAGTGACAGACCTTATGATACAGCGCGCACGTGCTAATTATTCGCCCCCCTCCCCGCCCCCGAATTAATTGTTGTGATGATTAGCAGCTTGAAGTACAGGTTAAATGTTGAAAAGACTTACTGGAGATTCCATTAAAGCGGAAAGCATGGTCACAATATTGAGAGGGCACGGTTGGTGAGTGTTGTGATGATATTTGTCTTGGTTTGTCACTGGCGCTTCGATTTGTAATGGAGATACTGCTTGGTGTGGGATGGTTTCCTATAAACCGAAGTTTGGAGCAATTTGTTATATTGAAAGTGGAGGCTGTTGTCTCATTCTGTTTCCACGGTGAGCTTAATCCATAATGATGTGTTTTGAGGTGAGCTAGTAAGAACTGGGGTTCGTGACCAAGTCGACAGCACCTTAGCACACGAGCTTACTGTGATGTTATTACAAACGTTTTAGGACTTAAAGCTGAACTCCGATTACAAAACTACAGAAATAATTAAAAAAAAAAAAGTTAACGTCTTAAATAATCGCCATACTTGTTTTTGATTTGTAGAACAAACATGGCGTACAAAATAGAGACAGGCCACGCCCACATCTGCTATATGCTCCGAACTGGGCTAATGAAGACGGACATACGCCATACAGTGTGATATGAGGGAAATTTTGCCCGCACAGTGGCACTACGGCCTACTCTTATATCGAATTCCAACTGTCAATTGATCTTTTACGTGCTCGCCAATGTGTACACGGGACTTCGGTTTTTCGTCCCATCCGAACGACTAGACAGCTGTCCTTGACAGGCCCTCCGTCCTGCATCACTGATAAGGGGGAACCACGCCGGAAATTCTGGATGAACTTTCTCGGCCAATGCCCGACCTCCAGGCTAGCGAGCCAGCGTCTTACCCCATTACCTGTGTATATTTATACCAGTCAACTAGGGGGTGTTTGGATGGCTGAATGGTTAGGGTGCACGCACTGTATCATAAAGTCTGTCATTGAGTCGACTGGCGTGGTTTCGAATCCCCGGTTGTACGTGACAAGGAGTATGTCGCCTGTCCAACCTCGTGGGTTTTCTCCGGGTCCTCCGGTTTCCTCCCACTGCTAAAGACCCCTATACGCGCAAGCGAATTATTAAAATAAAATTAAAAACCATACGTTAGTCCCGAAATGACCTAGTTTGTGTCGAGTGGACGTTAAACCCCATTCTCTCTCTCTCTCTCTCTCTCTCTCTCTCTCTCTCTCTCTCCAGTCAACTCAATTCATAGGATAAGGTCTAGTTCCTTATAAGATGTTATTATTCATTTTCTCGCCTGTTTAGGAGAAAAGCATGTTTAGGGAGACGAGTGCAGATGGTGTAATTGAATCACCTGATTCCAGTCGCAGAGGGGCGGAATGGATGACTGGATGACTGGATGACTTAATACCGTGTAATGTTATTGTTTATGTTCCTGTTGTATTTATGTTGCCGTTTGATTTACGTTCCTGATTTTAAAAAATCCCACATTTACTGGAGAGACAGAGAGAGAGAGAGAGAGAGAGAGAGAGAGAGATGGGGTTTAACGTCCACTCGACACATACTAGGTCATTTCGGGACTAACATATGGTTTTAATTTTATTTCAATAATTCGCTTGCGCGTAGGGGTCTTTAGCAGTGGGAGGAAACCGGTGGACACGGAGAAAACCCACAAGGTTGTCACGTACGACCAGGGAATCGAAACCACGCCAGTTGACCCAATGACAGATCTTATGATACAACGCGCACGCGCTAACCATTGGGTCATCCAACCCTCCACAGCTCGTGCGAATCTGAAATTCTATGTGCCCTTTAATTCCCGAAGGACATTTATTCATTAATATTCATATAATCTGTAATTAATTTTAATATTTAATTTATACAATTATAATAAACTAATGTTGATGATAGTGGTATAATAAATTGTTTCTTTCTAATTAGCTCAATTAAAAATCAGAATTTTATTACTACATTGTAACAGTCTGTATTTTCCATGAATGAATTTTCCTCAATGTAGCGCTATTGCTCACGTGCCACAACGCCTCTTCAGCATTAGGTTTTCTGACAGTGGCGTTCCCAGTGTGGTGACCCCCACCCCCGCCACCTTTCCGGTCAATGCCTTGATTATATGCACACAAGATTTAAGTATAGGTCCTTGTACTCAGATATATGTGAAAGGCAGACATTTTATATATGTAATAACTAGATGATATAAACTTTTTATTCAAATAAAATAGGACACCATGATATATTCAAGATGGCGTTTTATTAGCTCTAACATCGGATATTGTCCTTGATCTTTTGAAAATCAACCGCCAGGAACATCTTGTATATATATAGAATACAATTTCACTCTACATTCATGGTGTTGTGACTTGGGGTGGCTTTATTAAACCGGCCCTGGGTTTTACTGGTGGTGGGGGATGGGGGGGGGGGGGGGGTTCTTACTGGTTTCTGACTGATTAAACCCATCAGGTGTTGCCTTAAAATGTGACGTCATCCGGAGAAAGCGCTTTTGGCCCATATGGACTTCCGTCACATATTTGGTCTCCTCAGATCTGATTTGGTGTTTACCGGGGAATAGCACATATTTTGAAAGCCTTAGGGGCATTGGTAGCTCCAAAAGCGGCTTCGAATCCAGGGGCTGGCTTTCCGGGTTCGGTTATAAATCTAAATCTTTGAATGAGATGAGTAAAGAAAAGAAAGACCTCTATCTTGGCTGTAGTTTCCCCCATGCATTTTCGTTTTCCTGAAAGTTAATAAAAGAAAAATTGTAATAAAAAGATAGCCACTCAATGCGGTGAAATACTCCTACACTGATGCAATGACTTGACGAAAGATAGCCCCAAACAGCAGCTTATCGTAAAAGAAAACGTGGATGTCGAATACGTATATATTAGATAAGGATGTCATATGTACGAAAGCCCAGAAGGCTCATTCCAAATTCCAAATTCCAAATGCGAAATTCCAAATTCCAAATTCATGTCTTACCAATGAAATAGCAAATTGGCAGCCCCCCTCAATTAAACAAATTAGAATTTAAATAAATTGTAATTTTACACAACTAATTATGCGACACTTATCTTCTCTGCAGCTGCCATGATGATTGTAATGTCACGTGATTATGTCGAGTTTCGAATTTGGAATTTCGCATTTGAAATTTGGAATTTTGCATTTGAAATTTGGAATTTGGAATTTTGGAATTTGGAATGAGCCTTCTGGGCTTTCGTACATATGCCCTCAAGAAATCTGCGATCATCGTGTTTACAAGCGATTTAAATTTCCGCCTAGCCCCGATCATCATTACTAAAGTCAGTACGATAAACAGCATAGTCTCGATTATCCATTTAATCGTTAAATCGTGAAGGAAAGTTATGCAGTAAATCGGCTCATAATCCACAAAAGATCGCAGGCTAGCGATGCCATCTAGAGTTGATTATGGTCTGGACAGGTTAATTATTGTCTAATTAATCATTTCGATTAAATTTCAGTCCTAAAGAAAGACCTGCAATAGTCAGATTTAGCTCTTGCATAATGCATGTTTAAGTTTGTGATATTATTTGATAAGGGCCTAATAAACGTACCAATACTGAAATGAATGAGTTCTTCTCTGGGTATTAATTTACCATCCTCTGAAATAAATCTCTCGGGTCTGAAGACTTTTGGATCGCCCCAAATCTTTTCATCCATTAAAACAGAATCCAAATTGGTAATAATAATAGAATTATACGGTAAGCGATATCCTTTGTACCACATGTCTTCAGTCACACTACGAGGAGCACCCAGTGGTATGACAGCGGCAATCCGTGAAGTTTCAGTAATGACGGCCTGAACATATATCAAATTATCCCGGTCGCTCAAGGCAGGTGATCGGCCATTACCAACGTGTGTCTGGACGTCTTGGTAACACTTCTCTTGCACATCTGGGTTTGTTGCCATAAAGAGTAATACCCATCGCAGTGTTGATGTGGTCGTCTCGGTTCCTGCTGCTAATATTTCAGTGACTATGTGTTGTAGATTTTCAACTATAGAAAAGAATAAAAATATATGAATGCATAATCATAAATGCTAAATCAATATATAAAATGAAATGGGGTTTAACGTCTCGGCCAATACCGGGGTCGAACCAGGTACCTCCTCTTAAAATAAGAATTACGATACTGGCCACCGTCCGTCAGCAATACATTTATTTTGTCTCAAATCTTGTGATGAACAAAAATACATCCATGAGGAATTGGGCTGTTGTTGTTGTCGAGGTGATAGGCTCCTTAAACGTAGGTTGGAGATAGATGAGCTATTAAGAAGTTTTACCGCCCCCATTTCCTAATTACGGCACATACGTGGTTTATAAGTTACAGTGCCCAATAAATCATTTAAAGAATCCATCCAAAGGATCAGCTCCTGGCTACAAATAGTCTAGGGTAATGCCTCACCAGGACCGCTGGGATGACGTGCATGTGCAGTCGGACCCGCATTGCTATCTAAGCTCCGATCTGAAACTGGGAGAACGGTGAAACCTACCCGCGTACAAATGGTACTTACAAAAGATACATTGTGGGAGATTAGATAAAGAGCTGGCAGTTCTCACTATAATAGTTAAAAACTAGATAACGAGATTTTAGCTATTGAATTTTCCGTCTAGCCTCGTTCGTCATTACTAAAGTCGGTACGATAAAAAACATAGTCTCGATTATCCATTTCATGATTAAATCATGAATGAAAGTTGAGTAGCAAATCAGATCCTAATCCCATAAATATCGCAGGCTAGCGATGACATGGAGAGTTGATTATGATCTATATACTTACCATCCAATGTAGTTTCTTCACCCGCAGTCTTCCTAGCGTACATTTCCTTTAAATACAGTGCAATAAAGCTGTTACAGTTATCGGGATCATAATTATCAATATTATGCTTTATCATTGGAGTAACAATGATTTCGTTGAATTTTTTTACACTTGCCTTCACTTTAAGAACGCCAAAAACATCACCCGGTAAGTACTCAAGAAACGGGAAATAACTCATGGCCGTCGAAGTTCCAACCGTGCTTAAGGTTTCGGTGATGATGCGCAAAACCAACTGAAAGTGGTCATTGTCATATTCATATCTTTGAGCAAATATCATGTTACATGTTATGTTGGACACCGCGTTTCCTATCAAAGGATTTGGATCAAAGGCATTTCCATTTTCTTTACGAATGGCGTCCAATAAATAAACACTTTCTTCTTGTATCGTGGCCTCCATTGATTGTTTTCCGAAGTCGAGTTTACGAAGCAAAGCCAGTGAAACCATTCTTTGTTCTCGCCATAATTTGCCAGACGTCGAGACAATACCTTAAAAGAAAACAGAGTCACATTTGGATAAAATACATCGATAACTTGTGCCACGACATCTTCCTAAGTGTGCAGCGACATTTTGAAAATGAGAAAAACCACGTGATCCCAATTGAGTATTCACTGGTGTCTAGTGTATACCGTCTCACTTAGCATGTTTTTATTTTGCAAAATTCAAATATTTTTCATAATATATATTTAGCCAGGTGTGCCGCTATCTTTTGTCATGTGTTCGAAGGTGTGCCGTCGGCAAAAAATGGTTGAGAACCACTGAACTAATGGGCGGGCTGGATGACCGAATGGTTAACACGTGAAGGCTGGATCATAAGATCTGTCATTGAGTCACCTGGCGTGGTTTCGATTCCCCCGGGTGTTTGTGACAAGGAGTGGGGTCGCCTGTCCAACCTCGTGGGTTTTCTTCGGGTCCCCCGGTTTCCTCCCACTGCTAAAGACCCCTACGCGCAAGCGAATTATTGAAATGAATGTTAGTCCTGAAATGACCTATTTGTGTCGAGTGGATTAGGAGGCACCGCGAAATTTTAAATTTTAACTAAAAAGTGGACAAACGAGACTAAGTCTAAGTCTCGAATGTCCAGTATCGTTGCGACGATAACATAATAAACAATCGACGTTACATTTTCAAACACCTACAACTGCGCTCAGAATAAAGTAATTTGAATTGAATTTTCAATATATTCCTTTTTCATTATCTATTTATGAATTATTACCGCAAGAACAATCATCTTTTTATCTAAATCTTACATAATCCATTTTTAATCTCCTAATTAATTATTACATTTCTTGATAACATATCTATAAAATACATTCTGAAAGTTGTAAGTACCATTTACGACCCAAATTGCTTTTTATGCGCAAGATCACTAATCACATTGAGAAGCTTCTCTATGGGTTGGATGGAGCTGTATCAAAAGGACTGTCATTGAGTCAACTGGCGTGGTTTCGATTCCCCGGTTGTACGTGACAAGGAGTAGGGTCGCCTGTCCCACCTCGTAGGTTTTCTCCGGGTCCCCCGGTTTCCTCTCACTGCTAAAGACCCCTATTGAAATAAAATTGAACCATATGTTAGTCCCGAAATGACCTAGTTTGTGTCGAGTGGTCATTAAACCCCATCTCTCCCCCTCTCCCTCTCCCTATCTCTCTCTCTCTCTCTCTCTCTCTCTTTCCCCACAAAAAGAATGCTTTTAAAAATGTTGATATTCTAACTGCGTTATTAAAACCTACATCCGACATTGTGTGAGACTTTTTCAGAATTATGACATCGAATTATAGAAACAAAAACTATTTTATAAATTTGGGGCTAAAATTCAAAATAATACCTACAATTACGGTTACCTGATCGACCTTAACTTTCAAGGGCAAAATCGCCCACCCTAAACATGAAATGAAATGAAATGAAATGAAATGGGGTTTAACGTCCTACTGTTCTGCTTCTATGCTTGGCTAATAAAGACGGGTATACGCCATACAGTGTGCTACGATGGGAATTTTGCCCGGGCAGCGGCACTACCGCCTACTCTTATATCGAATTCCAACTGCCAAGGGATCTTTTACGTGCCTTCCAATGTATACACGGGACCTCGGTTTCTCGTCTCATCCGAAGGACTAGACAGCTGTCCTTGTCAGGCCCTCCGTCCTGCATCACTGACAAGGGGGAACCACGCCGGAAAATCTGGATGAACTTTCTCGGCCAATGCAAGGATCGAACACCCGACCTCCAGGCTAGTGAGCCAGCGTCTTAACCACTTAGCCACATGACCCCCCCCCCCTTTCCCAAGTCCTATAACTCGGTCTTGGAAGTGATTTTCTGTGGACAAATTCCACCACTGAACTTTCCGTATTATTTTCACGAATCGTAGTATTTAAAGTAGAAATGCTAGAAAATACAAACCCAACGAAAAAAATAAATTAATGAAATGTAGGATTTTTTTTTTTTGCTGGCCCTGTGAACAAATTACCTTTGTATCCTCCCAACATTTTCAATGAGTTTATTTCTGGGCGGTTGCTCAATTTGTCACCACTTTTCACTAGTAGGTCCTGTAATGTTTCAAATCCATTTAATACTACGATATGTTTATTCCCGATGTATAAACTAAATAAATCACCATATCTTCTACGAAATTTAGCAAATTGTTTACGCGGGTCGATCTCTAATTGTAAAAGGTTGCCTAAAATCGGTATCATTGGCCTGGGTCCTGGCGGCACGCCAGAGGGTACACCAGACCAAGGGTATGTTGAACGCCACCACAGTAAAGATACGAGAACAACCAAGAGTGCCCAAGTTACGTTAGAGCACACAAACACATCCCCAACTTCCAACATGCTGATCGGTCTTCCAAATGGAAAGAGATGGAATTTTTAAATCTGTAATTAAATCCTTGTTGGCGTCAGTGAATGTACAGATGTTGCAGGTAATTATAATTAAAATCAAGCTGCCGTGACTGAATTATGTTGATTATATCTAATAATGAAAGAACCGGGTTTGATTTCATAAAATGCAGTTTTATGGCACTTCAGCTCCAACTGGGTTATATAACGTCAAATATACGTCAGCTCCAACTGGGTTATATAACGTCAAATACACGTCAGCTCCAACTGGGCTATATAACGTCGCATACACGTCAGCTCCAACTGGGCTATATAGCGCGAAATACACCTCTAACTGGGCTATATAGCGTCAAATACACGTCAGCTCCAACTGGGTTATATAGCGTCAAATACACGCCAGCTATATAGCGCTAAATACACGTCAACTCTAACTGGGTAATATAGCATCAAATACACGTCAGCTCCAACTGGGTTATATAGCGCCAAATACATGGTGATGTTTTCATTATAGAAAACAAGTAGCAGCGTACTATGGAAAAGGGACTGTTTATGACGTCACCTTAGCCATCTTTGAATTGCGACATCAAAATTCACCATGCACAATTGTCCTTGGAAAACGCTTGCGAAGTTTCATGTCGATCGTATATGCATTGGCGGAGCATTTGACTTTTTAACAAAGATCATCGCACCTAAGAACAACAACAACAAGATGAGTAGCCCTTAGGGACCAGTTCATGGTCCCAAAAAATGTATTTCTAGATAATAAACTATAAAACCCAATTTTACATTCCTCGTTACTGATTTTTGGAGGAAGGGTATGGTGACTCAGCGAGAAAGGCGCTAGCTCACAAACCAATGGGTCCTGAGTTCGGTCCCTGCGTTGGTTGAGAAATTTTTTCCGAGATTCCAGGGTGGTTTTCCTTAGAGTGAGGGTCTGGCAAGGTCCAGTATATAGTCGTTCGTATGGTCCCCCCTCACAAGTTGGTGTGCACGTTAAAGATTCCTTAACAGTTGGAATCTAATTCAATTGCTGTCCGGGCAAAATGTCCCACACAGCACAAGCGTGAGCTCTTCTTCATTTTTCCGGTTAGTGCAAAAAAGTAGGACGTTAAACCCCATTTCTTTGCTGATGAGGTCACAAAGTCCAATTCGATATTTGAAAACAATTTGTCAACACAATACATCACACTTATTAATACTCAAGATCAACTTTAGCCATCATAGGAGTAGGTTCGCCTGTCCAACCTCGTGGGTTTTCTCTCCGTGTCCTCCCACTGCTAAAGACCCCTACGCGCAAGTGAATTATTGAAATACAATTGAGCCATGTGTTAATCCCGAAATGACCTAGTTTGTATCGAGTAAGGGATGGGAGAATTCCATCAAATCATATATATAAACAGCAAATTTTCACTCGGCGGCATTCGCATTATCAGTATAGAACAGTTTGTGGTTCGTGTCTTGTGCGTTGCGTATTTATAGTCCCTGGGTAGGGTGACACGTGCACCGTGCAGACACGGCAAATGTACACGCTTCAGTGGCTTAACTTGAAGTGATTTCTCGCATACACTACGCACTATGATAACAATCAGGGCTAGAGTCTATGATACTATAAATAGAAATCGCACGTGCAATTCCCTGCACATCTATCAACTATTACAGATGTAAAAAAATCTATTGTTGACGATTTTGAATAGCAGTAATATTTAGCTTATTAGTTATTACAGCAGCTTCAGAAATTACGTTTGTTTTATTTTTTAAATTGCTTTATCATTAGCTTTTACTTTTACAGGGTTCTTAAAACAATTGTTGAGTTGCCCAACGTGCGTGTTTCTAAATTCAATTGATTGTTCCAGCTTTCTGTTATGGTTCGTAAAAAAAGTAGTCTTGATTATCCCGGCCTGTTAATCAAACGTAGAATGGTCGGTAGACTGGTTAAGCGAGACTACTTTCAAAACAAGGGCACGTAACCTATTTTTTACTCACACGTGCTCGGATGTCATGGCCGACACACGGAACCATCTTTCAGTGTATTATTTATGGATGATTAAATGGTCATAGCTTATTAAGTACAACATGGCCGTTTATTTAGTGACTATAAATGTGCAAAACAGATTTAAGGATTGGTATATATATATAAATATTGTGGTGTAATTGTCGAGATATTTGAAGATATTTATTTATGGCGGGGCACCCTACCCTAGGGTGGTGAGACCATATCAGTCGAGTGTGACGCCAGGGAAATACACACTATAAGTCGTATCCTAGGTTTTTTCAAGTTACATCTGCGCCCGTAAAAGAATTAAGGCCGTGCTCGCTCGCGCTCTCTCTCTCTCTCTCTCTCTCTCGCGCGCGCCATCATGGAACTTAGGGGATATGGAATAAGATGGAATGAATTGAGGTTTAACGTCCTACTGTTCTGCTCCGACTAGGCTAATGAAGACTGGAATACGCCCATGTTCCTGAAGCAACAACTGCGAGTTTCACAACATCTGGGCGTTGCTTGTTTACTTCACAATTCCCGAACTTATGGCTATGTTATCTACAGACACATGAGCTGTAGCGTCCAATCAGAGGTTGTGACATCGCGACCTCCACAGAAACCTTGACATTGAATGAACCTTGAACTTTGCAACTCGATTATCACAGGTAGACATTTTAGCTTGAAAGCGCGAGACTTGGTATTCGCGACGATCGAGGAATCTGATAGGCTCACAAGTTGGGATTGTACCCAATCGAAATTAGTGCCGCAATATGCAGGGTATTACTTGAAGACCTTGATAAGATGTATGTAGTTAAAGCGAGACAAAGCCTTCTATTGAAGATGGCATACGCCTTACAGTGTACCATTAGGGCCATTTTGCCCGGACAGCGGCGCTACGGTCTAGTCTTATATCGTACTCAACTGCCAAGAGGTCTTTTACGTGCACGCCAATCTATACACGGGACCTCGGTTGTTCGTCTCATCCGAACGACTATACGTTGTTCCGATAAACTCTCTCGACCAACGCAGGAATCGAACAGGTTATCGAGCCAATATCTTAGTCTTACTCACTGAGCCACTGTGGCTCCCCGTATAGAATGCCGTCGCATGTGTAGGAAGGACAGGGCCTGGCAAGGACAGCTGTCTAGTCGTTCGGGTAGAACGAAAACCGGGGTCCCGTGTATAAATTGGCGTGCACGTAAAAGATCCCTTGGCAGTTGGAATTCGATATAAGAGTAGGCCATAGCGCCGTTGACCGGGAAAAATGTCCCGCATAGCACACTGTATGGCGTATGCCCGGCTTCATTAGCCCAGTCGGAGCAGAACAGTTGGACGTTAAACCCCATTTAATTCGACGCAGAGATGCCGGTATAGTATAGTCAACTGGCGTGGTTTCGAATCCCCGGTTGTACGTGACAAGGAGTAGGGTCGCCTGTCCAATCTCGTGGGTTTTCTCCGGGTCCTCCGGTTTCCTCCCACTTCAGTATTTCAGATAATAAGGGCAATTAGTGAATAATAGATAAAATAATGAACTTCTACCATGTTCGTTATATCCATTTCCCGGTTTCCTTCCACTGCTAAAGACCCCTACTCGCACACGCATTATTGAAATAAAATTGAACCATATGTTAGTCACGAAATGACCAAGTTTGTGTCGAGTCGACGTTAAACCCATCTCTCTCTCTCTCTCTCTCTCTCCCTCCCTCCCTCTCTCTCTCTCTCTCTCTCTCTCTCTTTCTCTCTTTATATATATATCCATTTCGTGAGTTAATCAATTGTTTTAAGTTGAAAATGTTGACTGCTTCATGAACAAAAGAATCCGTTATTTGATTTGATAGTAGTTCTATTGTTTATTACTTGCACGTCCGTGGATGATCTGTCTTATCCGCAGGTTTGTCTTCTGGCCCTCCGTGAGTGGTGCGTTGTCATGCACATAATAATAGGCTACCACTCGGCAAACCTCAACAGATTCCAGTACCCTACATCTACATCTACAAAGTCAATCTCCCAAACAGAGTTGTCTTCGAATGCTGGATAGCGAGACTTGTGGAGAATGCTACAAAGTCCGCCATTAGAACTACTTTCAAGTTCCCGGATTACAATGGCGTTGTCCATGACGACCAATGACGTCATTGATGACGACGTATTTGAAGAATGTTTTATCTTACAAAATTTTCAAAGTTTGAAGCTGTTTTTCTTTCTTTAGACAAGGACAAATTTGCACTGAAAATTCTACACTCTTCGAACGACGCAATTTTGAGAACTTCTTTCTAAACGCGGGCAAGTTTCCCTTATAAGTAAACCGGTGCCGCATCGCAAATGTATAGGCGTAGGTACATATCACTGACTGTCATACAGCCGAGGCTAGATGGAGGGTACCGGAATCTGCCGAGATTTGCCGAGTGAATAGGCTACAGCTCGAACAACGATCTATATTGCAAGGGAGGTAAGTCGAAGAGTATTGCTTTTCAGACCACCAATTACTTATCGTTCTCAGTATCGCTACAACTCTAACATTATAACTTATATTGCAAGGGAGGTAAGTCGAGGAGTATTGATTAAAGACCAACAGTTACTTATTGTTCTCGGTATCAAATCTATTTCTCTCTCTCTCTCTCTCTCTCTCTCGCGCGCGCGCGCGCGTTGAGAGAATACTCTTCGAAACGTCGCCCAGATATATTAGTACTGGTAGCTGTTTCCATAAGTATGTGTTTCCATAAGTATGTGTAATAGTTTATTACTCGATCCAGTAACTAAATACATCAATAATTATTTCCGTTGACAAAAGCAGAAATTTATCATCCCTAACATTGCACACGATATTATTATAAATAAAATACCCGTATGATAGTTTCAAAATGGCCGTGGCAGAGATATCCGTCGGCACGTTCAATAGTATTCCATGATGGCTAAATTATGTGATCTTAAGGGGTGAGTTTGTGTTCAGAATGAATGTCCATCCCTGAGTTTTTATCCCAAAAAAATGTTGATATCTTTTCTGTGCGTAGGTGACAATTTTTTAGCTGCCTGGAACAGGGGGGGGGGGGGGGGTAGAGTGCATGGGGAATAAAAAGAGATAGTTGACTGGTATTCGCGCTTATATCTATAATGTATAGAAATAAAAATAGCTGTGTACTTTCACTGTAACCCAGGCATCATTTAATCTTGTGTATTTAGCACTATTTTCTTTCAAATGCATTCAATATCAAATCCATGTTTAAAAACTTGTAAAAATCATTTAAAATCACCAAAAATCATCTAATTTGTACTTGTGTCCAGTTTAAAGCTGACCATTCAATTTACAAGCGTTATATTTCTCGATCACTGTTAAAAAAACCCAAACAACCGGCCAATTCATTATTGATGTATAATGACTAATTTTTGAACAGTGGTCAGGAAATTAAGTGCTTGTAAATTGGATACTCATTATCAAAACTTATCGGCCAGCTTTTAACTGGACACAAGTACAAATTAGATGATTTTGGGTGATCTTAAATGATTTTTACGAATTTTTAAACAAAGATTTGATATTAAACAAGTGTGAAAGAAATTAGTGCTAAATATACAAGATTAAATGATACCTGGGTTACAGTGTTATATGTTGTTCCAACCTAACGAATTGCAACTGAATGCGTTTGTTAGATGAAACAATGCATGAGGTGGTCTCCGTGCGAGATGTGTCAAACTGTTCCGAATACTGAACAGAGAGAGAAAGAGAGAGAGAGAGAGTGGGGGTTAACGTCCACTCGACACAAACTAGGTAATTTCGGGACTAACGTATGGTTTAATTTTATTTCGGGAGGACCCGGAGAAAACCCATGAGGTTGGGCAGGCGACCCTACTCCTTGTCACGTACAACCGGGGAATCGAAACCACGTCAGTTGACTCAATGACAGACTTTAGGATACAGCGCACACACGCTAACCATTCAGCACCCTCACCCCCCACCCCGCACTGAACACAGAAGTTATTAGGTAAGGATTTATTTATTTTCCGATGAACAACCACCCGATTAGATTTTATTACGGCCAGCCCTCGATAAACTACTAGAAGGTTTTATTACTCAACAAATACCTTCGCGAAGTACGTAATAAAATCTAATCGGGTGGTTGTTCATCGGAAAATAAATAAATCCTTACCTAATAACTTCTGTGTTCAGTGCGGGGTGGGGGGTGAGGGTGCTGAATGGTTAGCGTGTGCGCGCTGTATCATAAAGTCTGTCATTGAGTCAACTGACGTGGTTTCGATTCCCCGGTTGTACGTGACAAGGAGTAGGGTCGCCTGCCCAACCTCGTGGGTTTTCTCCGGGTCCTCCCGAAATAAAATTATTGAAATAAAATTAAAACATACGTTAGTCCCGAAATTACCTAGTTTGTGTCGAGTGGACGTTACCCCCCCCCCCCCCCTCTCTCTCGCTCTCTCTCTCTCTCTCTCTGTTCAGTATTCGGAACAGTTTGACACATCTAGCACGGAGACCACCTCATTGTTTCATCTAACAAACGCATTCAGTTGCAATTCGTTTGGTTCCTTTTTATGGGTCAGGAACTTCGCAAGCCGAGGGAATATTGTTGCATGATGGCTAAAATTGATCTCAAGGGGTGAGTTTGACACATGAAGCACGAAGTCCACCTCGCCGTTTCATCTTCCAAACGCATTCAGTTGCAATTCGTTAGGTTTCTGATTATGAAGGAACATCGCAAGCCGAGAGAATGCATGATGGCTAAAATTGATATTAAGGGGTGAGTTTGACACATCAAGCACGGAAACCACCTCGCTGTTTCATCTCTCAACTCATTCAGTTGCAATTCGTTAGGTTCCTGTTTATGGAGGAACATTGCAAGCCGAGGGAATACTGTAGAAAACATGTCTCGCGCCGTCTGCCGTCTGCTATACTCTGACGTGTATAACACATGTCTACAGCAGACGGCTAAATAACAACAAACGTTCTACTGAGAACTTGAGCGCGTGAGAGAAGTAAAAATATGCCGCTAGTCAACAGAAGGGTATTTATAGAATACGAAGAAAAACTTTGTGAGAGAGAAAATTTGGCAATTTAAGCAAAAACAGAGCAGTTGGTTGATTGTAGGAGAGGAATAGCCTCGATCGCTTATAAGACACGATTTAGACACTAGGTGGAATCGACAATTTACCGAAGAAGACAACCTGTCGGAGCCGATGATCGAATTACGGCCACGTAGGAATGACACGGTGTTAATTATTGTTATACGTTCCACGTGAATGTGTTCTGAGTAATGTTACATGTTACAATTGGCTTCAAGTAGCGAAATGATACCATTAAACAGTCAGAAGTGAGGCTACGCGGTGCTTTGTGGTATACAACTGGCGGAAGAATGTTCACGAGAAACCGATTCTAGCAAACGTGGATATACGAACCTGCTGACGTAACAAATATTATGGGTTATAGGTCCAGCCGGTATTTCTTGTGATTGGATATCGAAGGTGTGGTGCTGATCAATCACCATGGTAACGAGTAGGCCTCGAGCCCACTCGGCTTCTTCTATTAAATTAACGTTGATCAATTCTCGGGATAACTCTGCGGCCCGTAGTACCCCCGAACTTAGGTCCATGTTGACTGGCCTTGAAACAACAGTGCCCCAGAATTTGTCACCAGACGATTTCTCGACGACACATCGACCTCGTCGCGTGAAGAGGAAAGCCGCCGAAATGACTTCAGCAGACGACGGGTGCTGTGTTTGTTGCAAACGGTGTTGTGGGTGTTGTCGGTGCTGCCGTTGCCATATTCTTCTGGTGATATTACAACTGTTATTAGGCTCTGGAATAACGGCGTTGACTTTCTACGTTCACTTGTATTACCCAGTTATTGGAATGAGAGAAACGCCTTATTGGGCAGGTGTTCCGGTATGTATTAATTTTTTATATATGTTTAAATTATACACCTTGGGGAAATTTCAAGATTAGATGTAGATAAAATGAAATGGGGTTTAACGTAATACTGTTCTGCTCAGACTGGGTTAATGAAGACGGGCATACGCCATACAGTGTACTTTAAGGGGAATTCTGCCCCGACAGCGGCATTTTCGCCTACCCATCAACGAATTTCGACTGCCATGGACTCTTTTACGTGCACGCCAACCTTGTTTTCCGTAAAATCCGTACAACAAGCTGTTCCTTCTACATGGGGAAACCATGTACGAAAATCTCGAGAAATTTTCTCCACTTACACTGGGTTGTACACGAGACCCCCTGCTTATGGTACGAGCCAGTGCGTTAATCACTGAGCCTCCTTGATCTGGATCCAATATAAAATTGTCATTTTTATAGAATTGTATTTTTTTGCTATGAGTATTGGGATATATGACTGTCGTCATTCGTAGAAAGTTCCCTTGTCAGTGATGCAGGACGGAGGGCGTGACAAGGACAGCTAGCTAGTCGTGCGGATGGGACGAAAAACCGAGGTCCTGTGTACACATTGACGTGCACGTGAAAGATCCCTTGACAGTTGGAATTCGATATAAGAGTAGGCCGTAGTGCCGCTGTCCGGGCAAAATTTCCCTCATACCACACTGTATGGCGTATGCCCGTCTTCATTAGCCCAGTTCGGAGCAGAATAGTAGGACGTTAAACCCCATTTCATTTTATTTCGTAGAATGTTTTAGCCAGTGTTGAACAAACATTATGCTAGAGCTAAATCTGCCTAACATTTCTTTAGGCCTAAAATGTTATATAAATTATTAACTAGACATTTATTAACATAACAAGACCATAATCAACTCTCGATGTCATCTGATGGGTACGATTTTAAACAGATTTGAATCTGATTTGCGATTAACCGTAAAAATGGACAATCGAGACTTTATTTATTATCGTAACAACGGTAACAATGACAATCGATGCTACAGTGTTTTTGGAATTCGGTTTTCTCGGCTGAGAGTGAAGTAATTTGACTGAAATCTTCAGCAAATTCTCTTTACATTATCTATGTTTTTACTATTATAGTGAGAACTGTCAGCGCTTTAATTATCTAATCTCCCATAATGCCCCTTTGAGATACCAACGATATTATTAATTTCCATCGTGGACACAGAAATAGAATCTAAAACACAAATGTAAAGATCGCCAATTAATCAATTAATTTACAAAAGGTGAATCGAGACTTAGTCACCATTAACAGAAATGAAATGAGATGGGGTTTAACGTCCCACTGTTTCTGCTCCTGGGCTAATGAAGACGGGCATGCTCCATACAGTGTGCTATGGGGACAAATTTGCCAGGGCAGCGGCACTATGGCCTACTTATATCGAATTTCAACTGCCAAGGGATCTTTTACCTGCATGCCAATGTATACACGGGACCTCGGTTTTTCGTACCTTCTGAACGACTAGACAGCTGCCCTTGTCAGGCTCTCCGTCCTGCACCACTGACAAGGAGAAACCACTTCGGAAAATCCCAATGCAGGAAGCGAACACGCTACCTTCAGGCTAGCGAGCCAACGTCTTACCCACTTAGCCACCGTGGCTCCCTCGATTAACAAGAACCGTTGCTACGTTAATAATAAACAATCTATGCCACGTCTTGCCAAAACATCAAACACTCATAACTTGGCTCAGAATAAGGGGGGGGGGGGTGGATGGCTGAATTGTTAGCACGTGCGCGCTGTATCATAAAGTCTGTCATTGAGTCAACTGACGTGGTTTCAATTCCCCGGTTGTACGAGACAAGTACATGTAGTAGGGTCGCCTGTCCAACCTCGTGGGTTTTCTCCGGGTCCTCCGGTTTTCTCCCATTGCTAAAGACCCCTACGCGCAAGTGAACTATGGAAATAAAATTGAACCATATGTTAGTCCCGAAATGACCTAGTTTGTGTCAAGTGGACGTTAAACCCCATTTCTCTCTCTCTCTCTCTCTCGCTCAGAATAAAGTAATTTAAATGAAATTTTCAGCATATTCATTTTCCATTATATTCATTTTGCATTATCTGTTTTTGAACTAGTTTTGCAAGAACGGTCAGCTCTTTATCTTTAATCACTAATTGAAATAACATTTCAGAAGAACCCAATTCAATAATTATTTTAAAATAAATCAAAGAGGTTCATCTCGGTTAAGATAACAACTTTTGAGAATTAAGTTAAAGTAGCTAAGTCCGTAATTCAATATCATCCAAAATCTTCGACATTGAAAACACGAATTATTTTGCAATTTAAATCAGCATTGGTGTTGTGATCTTACCTGGAAAAGATTGGCTTCTGATATCCAATATTTAAGACAAAATAAACATTTTACCATTGGTACACGAATCGTGTACCATAATGCGTTTCAGCGCCATTTGTAACAAGGTGCTCAGGCTAGACATATTCCACAAGTCATGTCAAACGGTGATATCATGTTCTTATTTGAAGAGCATGCGCAATAAATAATATCGGTGTTGACTGGAATAACCAGACGCTAGAAACTGACTTACGGTTGAGACTTCTGGCGTATTTCGCCGAACATAACTGATGACAATTCACAGTAAAACGGACACGATTGAATGTAAAACAGTTTATATAAATTCATATTACATTATTATACGTGTTGCGACCAATCTGTGCCAATTTCTAGGTCCAAAATATTAGCGATTTAGCTCCTTTAAGTCTCGCTGCAATCCCCTTTGGCATCTGCTATTGTCCATTGGTTTTCTACCCAAACACGTGTCTATCATCCGTTTTTTTTTTTTTGTTTTTTTTTTTTTTTTTTGCTGCACCGAAGACGGACATTATTGCAATGTTCTGTGTGGACAAAAATTTTTACGTGTACACGGCGCCTCGTCCCATCCGAAAGACTAGACGCGTCCCCATGCCAGGCACCCGGTCCTGCACCACTGAAAAGGGGAAACCACTTTTAACAATTCCGGGAAACTTTTTCAGTCAACACCCAGGTCAATACCCGGACCCCCTGGTTAGTTTCGTATCATTTCCAATTTTTGTGTCTATTCATTCGGAACCAGCCAAAGTTGTTTTTAGTGTCTCTCTCTCTCTCTCTCTCTCTCTCTCTCTAAAGGTTTCCCCCTTTTGCATTGCGATCTTTGTTGACTTTTCCGTGTAGAATCGAAGAAAAGGTTTTTTGCTGACAGGCTTTGGTGAATATTTATGATTTTGTAGCGGAAGGATATGCGAGTTAAGAGGTTGGTTAGATTGAAAATGTAGACCGGAAAATTGCACGGCTTTTTTTTTTTTTTTTTTTTTGGTCTCTACTTCCAGTTTGTGTATCTCAAGTTTTCCATACATGCTTTTTGTCAAGACGTTGCCACATGTGGTAGAAGGCGTTCTACCCAACGAAAATTTGGGAAAAGCTTAGAAGTTGGTCTAAGAGACGAGAATTAACATTAAAGTCAATGGGGAAATCATTGGTGATCTGTGGCCATTCACATAACTAATGTAATTCTCATGCTGGATCCTGTTTCACGAAATTTTAACTAAGATATTATCCAAATTTTAGTAATTTGATTGGATAATATTAGATTGATTTTAGTGTTTAGCCAAGCAAAATTGAAGTATCTACTAAAATTAGGATTTTATCTTAACTAAAATTTCGTGAAACAGGCCCCTGGTTTTTCGGTATGATTCGTGTATTAAACCGATTGATAAAACAATAAGCGAAAGATAAAACAGTATTTATAATATCAAGAAATGAAAATGAAATGAAATGGGGTTTAACGTCCGAACCGGGCTAATGAAGACGGGCATACCCTATACAGTGTGCGATAGGGGAAATTTTGCCCGGACAGCGGCACTACGGCCTACTCTTATATCGAATTCCAACTGTCAAGGGATCTTTTACGTGTACGCCAATGTGTACACGGGACCTCGGTTTTTCGTCTCATCCGAATGACTAGACAGCTGTCCTTGTCAGGCCCTCCGTCTTGCTTCACTGACAAGGGGTAACCACGCCGGAAAATCTGGATGTATAATATCAAGACTTTCACTGAATTTACAAACGTGGAATAAATATATACCTGTTTGTTTTCTATGAGACAGAAACATGTGGCGATAAACTATCGGGAGAAATTGATATCCCGTGACCTTTAACCCTGTATATTGTAATAGTAAGAAGATCTATGTACATGTATTATTGACCTGGGTAGGAGTGGGATAAGATTGATGTAGAGCAAGGTGGTATTAATTACCTGGTATGAGTGGGATAGGATTGGTGTGCAGTGAAGCAAGGTGATATGACTTAACTGGTATGAGTGGGATAGGATTGGTGTGAAGCAAGGTGGTATGCCTTGGCTGATATGAGTGAGATAGAGGATTGGTGTGGGGCAAGGTGGTATTACCGTGTTCAGTGTTGTGATAATCAGTGCCCTGTGTCTCGAAATCTTAACTAAAGATAAAATCCAAATTTTATTTGATACTTCAATTTTGATTGGCTAAGCATTAAAATCAACCTAATATTATCCAATCAAATTACTAAAATTTGGATTTTATCTTAGTTAAAATTTCGTGAAACAGGCCCCAGTGTTGTAGTAATAGCCAATGCCAGCAACCTATAGGCTTGGTACTGGGCTGAAGCTTTGGGCCTCAACATCTAGGGAGCCCTCGGACAAGGTGTATAATATTGTTGATACTGTCATAAGCCCTTCTTTCACGCATCCGTCATCATCATCGGCTTTTCTTCTCGATTGTGTTTAGTCTGCCATTGAGTCAACTGGTGTGGTTTCGATTCCCCTGTTGTACGTGACAAGGAGTAGGGTCGCCTGTCCAACCTCGTGGGTTTTCTCTGGCTCCTCCGGTTTCCTCCCACTGCCAAAGACCCCTACGTGCAAGCGAATTATGGAAATAAAATTGAACCATATGTTAGTCTCGAAATGTCCTAGTTTGTGTCGAGTGGACGTTAAACCCCATCTCCCCCTCTCTCTCTCT